TTCCTTTTCTTTTTTTTTTTTTTTGGTTGTCAAATGATAATGTTTTTCTGCTTCTTTCTGTCTCTTGGTGGTTCCTTGAGGGCTTTGATAATCAGGGCAGAGGCAGAAGGTACCACTTCAATCTGGGCCTGTCGGTTCTGAATGGTCAGTTTCACCGTAATCCTTAGACCCTTCCAATTACCAGTTGCCTTGGCGATGTCATCACCAACCTTTTTTGGAGACAGACCCAGCGGGCCGATCTTCGGGGCCAGGGCAGACGTGGCACCGACTTCACCACCGGTGCACCTCAGGTACACGACTTTGATCTCGTTGGGGTCGAACTTAGGCGGCATGGCGGAGGTGGCTGGTGTCGGATGAACCCGGATTCAGGAAGACCGAAGAAAGTTGCACCTTTGCCTCCCGGAGCCGAAAGCCAAAAGCTGGAATCCTATTCTGCTTCAGCCTGAGAAAAGCTCTTTGTTTTTAAGGGCTCATGTGATTACATTAGGCCCGGCCAAATAATCTCCCTATCTAAAAGTCAACTGTGCATATCATATAACATAATCACAGGAGTGATATCTTACCATATTCAAATGTTCCAGGGATTAGTATAGCCATTTGGACAGTCTACCTACCAGAGAATTGAGCCTTTTAATTATTGCAGTGATGTCATTTTTTTCTTTGTTTTGATTCCAAGAGACTAGACAGCTTTTTATGATCTGAAAGTGCCCGGTAAAATAGGAGGCCCAGCAGAAGAATTTATTCAAGTGTGAGAAAATAATTACCATCACAGATTGGGGTTAAATGGACATTGGTGGTATTTAATGAGAGAATTTTCCTTTTTTCTTGCTATACCCTACTGATTGCTTTAAACAAAATGAATTTGCCTTAAATAAACTGTGGTTTGTGGTAGAGGAACATAACCAATGTACCGTGATCTCCCCCTTTCCCTGCCCCAAGAATGGACTAAGCAAATAAATACTGTGAGTTCATTTTCTTTATAACCTAGGAGATCCTGCTAGAATCTTCCTAGACTAGAGGGCAAGAATCTCTTGGAATCCATGTAGGTCAGTGTTCCAGTACCCAAAGAGGTATGGAAGATGCTGGAAAGTGGATCTGAAAGAAGAAGAAAAATTATTCAGCACAATAATCTATTGCAATAAACTGAGCAAGAGATGATGATGACTTGGGGGAAGATGGTAGAAATAGAGGAAGAGAGGATTCTGGATAATATTTTGAATATATAGTGGACACGTTTTGTCAAATGAATTAGCTGTGGGGTGTGAAAGAGAAAAGAATAAATCCAAGATTTGGGGTTTGTGGAACTTGGATGATAGAGATGCCATTTACTGATGTGGAAGAGATTTTGGGGGAGCAAATGTGGTATGCCATTAAGAAAATGGACTATTTCTAAAAACTATAGCTATTTTTTTTTTAAGACTTATTTATCCATTTGAGAGAGAGAGAGAGAAAGGGAGAGCAGTGGGTGGGGGAGGAGGAGCAGAGGGAGAGGGAGAGAGAATCCCAAGCAACTTGAAAGATATCCAATGTTTGGTGACAACATTTAAAATCTTACACCGTTCCCTCCACAGCTTTGTCTAGAACTCATCATAGAGATTCATATCCCCATATGATTCCATATTTTGTTGGATCTTCCTCATCCCTGTTTCCTCTTTGGTTCCATAGTGACTTCTGAGTTTCTGATCCAACATTTAAAAATGCCATATCCCTTCTCCTTTCCTTAAATGTCCTCTTTACCTTCTCAGCTTATTAAAATGAGAATTTCTCCTAAGGAACCTCCTCTCTTGTGGTGCTATCAAGCAATAGCCTCTGTCTCTCCACAGCACACAAGGCTGTGGGTGGAGTAGGTGTCTTCCCTGATGTTCCTTAATACTTTCAAACTAATTTTCTCTCTCTTTTCCCTAAAATCCCTTGTCTTTGAAGATTTTGCTCCCAGTCTATAATATACTTCTATGTTGTGCTTATTCAAAGATGATTCCCACTCAATAACGATTTTAATTTTTGGCTCAATGTCTCTGTCTCTCATAGTACTCTTACCCTAAGTCACAGTGGTTGCAGTGTCCATGTGTGTGATCTTTGTAATGTTCTGATGTCATACCTTCTCTGTCAGTATTCTCTCTTCCACATCCACTCTGTCTATTCCCATGGCCATTCTCCAGACCTTGACATTATGAATAACTATACCTCCTCCATGATCTCAATTTAGAATACCTCACTTTCTGATCTCTACTTCTTGTCATTTCAGCTCCCTCCTCTAAGACCTTTCAATCCATTGGTCCTATTATCTTTTTCATGGATGTTTGCTTCCCATTTTCAGTGTTTTTCAGTTATCAAACACCAGGAATAATAAACCTATAGTTGAACAGGTTGGGTTAAAAGTTCATTTCAAGGAGGGACAATGCACACCATAAGGGCGTCTGAATAAGAGTGTGATACAAAAACTGATTACTAGTAATTGGGCTCATGATTGGTGATTTTAGGAAGGGTTTAGGAAGCAGGACTTTACTATGCATTTGGATGATGTCAGGTATGTGGCATTCTATGACTGGATTTCTGAATACATCTTATCTCTGGGGTAGGAAGAATGAATTAATACCAAAGCTATAATTGTTAATAGAGTCACACTAGCTCAGATTATCCAGGACAGGAAGATGTTTGGGTATTTTTGTGGTTTGAACAATGTCAGTTTTGTCTGTGTTTAGACATGGTTGCAAAATGGTCTTTTTGTCTTGATCCATCATGGTCTGAGGAATTATGTTCAGCAGGAAAACACTACAACCTAGCTGATAGTGCCAGGCCAGCTCCCTGATTTTGGGAACTGTTTTTTTTACCCCCTCCCCCACCCCTCTTGGTCTATCACTGCAATCACACCTTGCAAAATCTAACTCCTTCACTCCAACCCCACCAATAATTCTAAGTCCACCCTGGCTGGCATTCCCTATTGCTTTTAACCAGCTTTATTTTTTTCTGTACATTACTTAATAATTATACATCATGTTATAAATTTATTATTTACTTTTCTATTATCTTTCTAGTGTTTAAACAAATTATTCAGATTATTTTTACCATATAATGGCAATTAAAGAATACTTCAACCTTTAATTATTTATTTTAAGATTTATTTATTTGCGAGAGAGAGAGAGCATGCAAGCAGGGGGAGGGGCAGAAGGAGAGGTAGAGAGAATCTCAAGCAGACTCCCCGCTGAGTGTGGAGTCCACTATGCGGCTTGATCCCATGACCCTGAGATCACAACCCAAGCTGAAATCAAGAGTTGGTCACCCAACCACCTGAGCCACCCAGGTGCCCTTGACCTTTAAAATAAGGTAATCTGATGTGCAAGTGCTAATAGGGTCTATATAAATTAATTATAAATTCTATTGATTATATAAAACAAAAAGGCATGATTTATGACTTCAAAAGTTTTTATGATAGTATTTGCTATCTTGGCAGTTAACTTTTTTAGTGAATTAAATCTAAGCCTTTTTATAAGAGACATTAAGTCCAAAGAATAACCTAAAAGATTAAGATACAAAGAGATGAAGTCAATTTGTGGGAGTCAGGGTACGAAATAATTAATTGAAGAGAAATATAAGGCTTTTTATATATCTCTTACAAAATATAAGAGAAATATAAGAAATATTTAGTGTAAGAATTTTTTAAAAGAAGCAGTTTTGACTAATATTTTCCTTATAGTTTTTAGTAACATTTTAAGGGCAGAACCTTTAGGAGGAGAATTAGACTATTTGCAAAGATTTTATAGAAAGATTGTGATACAGACAGACTTCTAATCTGTTTTGATATTGGATGCATGCATTGTTTTTGCCCCACACCTTATTTCATAGCTACAGTGTGTGAACTAAGTGTTCCCCTCTGTTATAGTCTCTGTAGCCTAAGGGCAAGTGTGGGGAAGAAGGTTTAGCCTTGTATGAGGTCCTGGTTGCTGCTGCTGCTTCTGTTAAATGTTCTGTAGCAGGATTTATTCCACCTAGTGCTAACACTGTATCTTTCCTTCTAAGGTAATATCCTGGAGCATCAGATCATTGCTCCAATTCAGCATGCATGTCCAAGCCTGCTGAGATCAAAGAGCCAGGCCAGATTATGCACTTATGAGTTCAACCCTTGTCTTCCTAGAATCTGCAGGGAGAAGAACGAAGTGATGAATAATGCAAGGTTATGGTGTTAATCGGTTCCATGGGCAAGATAGTAGTATAGAGGGGATTTCAAATGGGGCTTGCTTTATGACTTTTCCCCAGGATTTCTGCTTCTTGAAAGGTTGTTACTTATTTTTTGTTTTCATGTCTGCCATATCCATCACTATGGCTGGGAAGTAACAAGTCTAATATTGTGGCTCTTCTACGCAGACTCTTCTACGCAATTAAACATTTTGAGCATTGGTGGTTGATTTGAACTTCCTTAAGAATTGAATTGATGGGGCACCTGGGTGGCTCAGTCAGTTAAGCGTCTGAGTTTGACACAGGTCATGATCTCAGGGTCCTGGGATGGAGCCCCTCTTGTGTCAGGCTCTCTGCTCAGCGGGGAGTCTGCTTCTCCCTCTCCCTCTGCCCCTCCCACCACTAGTGTACACACGTACTCTCTCTCTCTCAATCTCTCTCTAATAAATAAATAAAATCTTTTAAAAAGAAAGAATTGAATTGACATTTGCATAGCCCCTCTTCTTTCCTTGCCAAACCCACTTTCCACCTGACCACATTCTCCTTTCTTTTGTCTATTGCTTTTTCCATGAGCTTATCTCTAAATTTAGTGATCATGAGTAACGTTCGAGGTGTTTGCTACTTTCTTTATTTCCCTCCTGTGCATGGGTTGGAGGGATGATTAGAAGCTACTCCATTGTAGAACCTTTTTTTACTTTCCTTAGCTATCACTTTTCCTTATTTGGATGCTGTTAATGTATTTTTGACTTGCTTATTTTGGTGTTTTTAAATAAATTTTATCAGGTATTAGGAAAAGCAAGTTCTGTGATACAGTTTCATTCTATCATTTTTGTTTTTTTGTTTTGACTTTTAATATAATAGAAGGATACATGTAATGAATGATTTTTGCATTGAGCTGCATTTCATTGTTTAAGTATTTATATACCATAACATTTTCTTTTTGTATTTGGAATCTTATTTTGTTTCAAAATACAAATGAAAGTTACTATTATAATTCAGGAGATCTGAATATTAATATAAAGTAGGTAATTTTAATGATTTCAACTAGAATTATTCAACTAAATTTTCAATTATTTCAATTGAATTTTCCCGGCTTTCCCTTGTCCTCTCTCCTACTCTGTATTTCCCCCCATATCTCCCTTTCTACTTTTTTTTTTCTTATTTATTCCTTGCCTATCTTCCAATTACCAGTATTTATTGAGCATCTACTATATCCCTCAGGATTAAAAGACACAGAGATGGAAAAG